GGCCGCCTCAGAGGAGGCGGAAGGGGAGGGACGAGAAGAGGGAGGAGAGGAAGAAGGAAGAGGGGGAGAAGGAGGAGGAGGAGGTAACGATGTATGCAGAAGGGAGGAGGGAGGAGAGATGACAGTCAGTCTCATCCCTGCTGACTCCTACCCACATGCTGCGCGGTCACCAAGATCTGCCGAGGCTGTTCAGAAGATGCCGAAACTGTCAGGCTTTGAGGCTGCATTGTCGGCGTTTCGGCCAGCCGCATTTCTGGTCAACCGTGGACTGTTTTTGTGTGGTTGTTCGAGTCCAGAAAGGGTTCATTACCATTTTGTGGTTGTTGTGTTCCTATGCTGTATGGCTCCAACAGCGAATTTCTTCGGGAGGAACTGCCATCGCCCTGGCAATGTCGGTCACCACTTCTGATTTTGACTTCCTGTTTTAGCAGTGCTTTCCGCGGCATTTGGAGGGAGGACCGCGCGGTGAAGTGGAATCGCGGTGAGACGGAACCGAGAGTAACGGTCTCCGTGATGTGACTCGGGAGGCTTCGCTTTGACGCACGTAGACATTTTAGTCGAAGGATTCGCACAGAAAATTGACGAAGCATGTGTTGTGAGCATGTGCACGTGCATTGTGTGTACGTGATGTCATCACCGCTCGGATCAGAGGACAGCGCTGTTGGAAAGTTCGAATCATTTGAACCTGGTGGGCAGGTCGTGCAATACACATTGAAATTAATTCCCCACATAACCGCGTACGCATGTAGCTTTTCCCACTCCTGCCAGACCTTTTCCCAGGATGTGTGATGGAACGTGCCCTCAGTGAAACATCGGAGAGACGGGGTTACAGCGTTGAGGTGACCATGCCAATTCTTTGTCAATGCGTAGAGTTTTCATCACGAGGGAGCCTTTAATCATCATTTTTGGTCCTCGAACAGCAATAGCTGCAGGGATTCTTGACTCTGTAATCGTGTGTTGGGTTTTGGGATTCGGTTGCATGTGGCCTCTTGGACTTTGCGTGAAGGGTGGCGAAGCGTCGTCCCTGTTGGTACTGTGACCTTCTGTCCTTTCGTTGCCGTCGCGTCTGGTTTGATGAACAATAGGCGGATTTCGAAACTGCGTGTTTCGTTGGAACCTCTCGCGGTCCCTCGTGTGATGCCGGGGGCCCAATCGTCGAGCTGGTTGTTCCCTTGGGCTGTTGTCTCCGCGCTGGCCCCCCCCACCCGTGTGTGTGTGTGTGTGTGTGTGTGAAAGAGGGACCGTAGCCTTGGCTCAAGCCGCTCTGGCTCAAGTGCCGAGCCGGCCGCTCGCTGAGCCGGGGGTGGCCCCTGCCTCCAGCCCGCCTCCCAGCCCCCTCCCGTCCCACCCTCCCCCCCCTCCGGTGCCATGCTGGGCGCGCGGTGGCGACGTCCGCTGGCCACCGCCGCCGCGGTCGCTGCGGCCGCTGGCGCGACGGTGTCGCGGTCGGCCCGCCGCCGCCGCCAGCGGCTCGCGGCCGCCTTGCGCGGCGCGCCGCTCCCGGGGGTGAAGCCGCCGGCTGGCCCGGCCATCTGCGTGGCTTCGGCTTCAAGCGTAGCGCGGGCTCCCGTGGGGCTGCGCATGTGCGTGGATCCGAGCAAGGGAAATGCAGCTGCTCGCTGTGCAGCAGGCGAGATCGCGCGCAAGCAAGAGCGGGGCGCGCCCCCCCTCATGGAATTCGTTGTCCGCGACCCTGCCGCATCTCTGCGCGAGAGGCCCGTTCTCGGGCGCCCTGTGCTTCTTTTGTGGGCGGCTGGGCGAGCCGGCTGCGGTCAGGAAAGATTGGGAGGAGCAGTGGCGGTGCCGGCAGGCGCGCGGCTTCGCGGTACCCGCATGCGGGGGCCCGCGCCAGGAGTGCTTCGGCGATCTTGCGAGCAAGTTCCCGCGCCCGCGAGCGGCTGGGCGCGGCCGCAGCCGGCCGGTTCCGTTCGAATTGCTGACTCGGGCCCTCGGACGATGAGCTCGAGGCGACGGTCCCCTTCTCATTTGGCTAAGAATCCGCGGACCAGGCTGCGTGCGTGGCCGTGCGTGCTAAGGGCTGGCTGTATGCGTAGCTTCGCTTGCACGCGGGCTCTGACTGCGTGTCGTGCCAAGTGGCGGTGGCTGTGAACGGGGCTCGGGCTGTGCGCGTGCCGCTGGCGCGCGCAGGGGGGGGGGCGCTAGCGCGGCGCGCGTGCAGCATCTCGACAGGGCAACGCAGCGCGAACTGGGCGCGCGGCGGACGCGTGCCACCGTGATCCACGGTTATTCCGACCGCGAGGATCTCGCTCTGCTTGGAACCGCGGGGGAATCACCTTTCGCCGGAGCGGGTCGTCGGGCCCAGGTGCGCGGCGCGCGATGGGGGTGAGCAGGCTGTTTGCGACGATGTGTGTCGCAGGGGAAATGGGTTCACCTTGTGCTGGCGTGGGGCGCGGGGCCGCGCGAGAGTCGCGATGCATTGCGTGGCGACCGCGCGGGTGATGGCGGAGTGCGTCGGATCGGCGCGCGCTGCAGATTTCGCGACAGCCCCCATCGCGGGGGTCTTGGCCGCGGGATTACCGGCGGCCAGCTCGAAGCCGTTCGACGCGGGGGGGGCCGAGGGCGGCTAGGCGGAGCTCGCGGTGACTCCCGCCCGCCGTGCCCTGGCCCTCCCCGTCCAGCGCCGCGCTCAGGAATCGTGCTTGTCCTGCGCTCCGCCGTGGGCCTCTTTGCTTCGGGGGGGCCTTGCGCTGGGCGGCCCTCCAGGCCCCGAGGGCAGCGGGGGCCTCGCGAAGGCGATGGGCGCGATGGCAGAGTGTGCGCTGGCGTCGCGCGAGCAGATAGATAAGGATAAGGAGAGTGATCATGTGTCCTTTGCGCTCCAGGCCCTCGGTCCTGCGGCGGCGGGCCAGGCGGGGGGGGGGGGGGGGGCGCGGCTGCGGCGCGCGCGGGAGCGACTTGGGGAGTTCGGGCTCGACGTTTTTCCCGGCGATGCCCCCCCGACGGAGGAGGCCATGATTCGCTTCGAAAGGCTCGCGATGGGACTGCCCGCGGAGCGTGCGCCGGGCGCGCGGCGCGGCATGCGCGGCGCGGGCCGCGGCAGCCAAGAGGGGGGGCGTTATTTGGGAAGCGCCGAGGGTGGAGATTTGCAGTTGCGTGTCAAGCCGCCGTGGAGCCAGGTGCCAGATCTGGACGTGGCGCCGCGGGACGTACCGCCACTCTCGCGCGGGCGCTGGGGCGAGGCCCGCGGCTTCCGAGGTCTTGCCCGGGGGGTCGGCCGAGGGTCGCGCCGAAGAGGTCGCGGCAGCCGAGCGGGCGGCCATGGCGACGGCTAGCGTGGATTTCGCGTCATGTGCTCATTTCCAGGGCGCGAAGAGACCCGCGCGACCGCGCGGTGCTCGCTGGGGCGACGTTCGGCGCAGTGCCGTTCGCGGGCAGGCGTGCCTGCTGGAAAGGGGAATGCGCTGCGTCATCGCGCAGGTTTTCGCTCCGGTGGTGCTCCGGGCACATCAGTGGCAGTTGAGCCAGAATGCGGGGGGGCACGGCGGGGCCCGCGCCGCGCATATCTACGATGTCGCCATGCGGCAGAAGGCAGGGATTTCGCGCTGGGGTGATGCGCCGGGCGCGACCCAATTTTCCTCTTCGCAGGCCGCGCGCGCGCGGGGGCATGGCGCGGGCCGCGTGGATGGGCAGCTGTGCGCCCTGGACTGGGATGTGCCAAGGCGGAGTCCAAGGCCAAGGCGGATGCGGAGGCCAAGGCCAAGGCCAGTCCAGGGCCAAGGATGTGCACCCTAAGGTCGCCAGGGCCAAGGCGGAGTCCAAGTCTGAGGGGATGGCAGCGGCGACGAGGCGGAGTGCGCCGCCCACTCCGCCGGGGGCCGCGCGGCGATGCGTCGCGTGTCAGAGCTGGCCCGGAAGTGGAGAGTCGCGCGCCCGACAACAGGTGTGTCCATTAGGTGCTTCCGTCCGCGCGGCCGCGGTCTGCTGTGCGCGGGCCAGTCCAGGGCCCGAAGAGGCCGCCCGAAGTGGGGCGCAGCGAGGTTCCGCTCGCCGCGCGGCGGTTGGGGGTCTTCCGCGTTTGCGCGCGGCTCCGGCGCCGGCAAGCAGCCGGCCGCCAGGAACGGTGAGATCAAGTGGGCGCCGTGGAGCGAAAGGAAGAATGGCGCCCGCAAGAAGTGGCGGCGCACCACCGCGCCAGAAGCTATTGCGTGCGATGTATTTGTCGTGGGAACGCGAGACGCGACGCGCGCAAGGGCTCCGTTCGAACCCGCGAGGGGGTCGGGCGCGACAGCCGTGGGGGGGCAGGCAGGGTCGGGTGGGCAGATAGTGCAGGAATTGACGAGCGCCTTGGATGGCGAGGCGTCGCTGCCCCAGGGCGAGGTCGCGGGGGCGTTCTTTGACGAGGCTCGTAAGTGCCGCCCATGTAGCGGTGACGCTCGCGTGTTGCGACGTTGCAGGCGGAGTTTGAAAATCCTGCAGGAATTGGCGAGTGCTGGGATGGCGAGGCATCGCCGCCCCCCGGCGCGGTTGAGGGGCCTTTCGTAGACGAGGTTCGCTCGCGCCGCCCATGGGGCGGTGGCGCGCGCGGGTTTCGATGGCGAGGCTTGCGCTTCGGACGCGCTCGCTCTGCGGCGGGCAGTGGAAGAGTTACTGTCGGGCGAAGAGAGAGTTAAGCGGATGTCCCCGCTGGGCCGCTGGGGGTGGTCCTGGCGCCTCCCCGAGTGCGCGGGTTCCAAGCAGCTCCATGTTGCGTAGGCCGAAGCGGTGGATGCGCGATGTGACCTCGAGGGGCGCGAGCTGCGCCGCCGCTGGGCGGCCGCCTGGCATTATTGGGCCCGACGTGGCAGGTGTCGCTGCGCCCCCGCGCGCGCCCCCGCCCGTGGGTCCAGAGCTGTTGAAGGCGCATTATGGGGGGATCAGGGGCTTTCGCCCCGTGTGCAAGCCGTGCTGGGACCGAAGAAAAATTTGCGGCTCTTGCGGGCGCTGGGGCCGGGGTGCGGGCCGGCGCGAGGGGCCGCCCCCTTCTCGCCCGGCTCTCGCAGGATATGTTGGCAGCGGCGAGGGTGGGCGATGCGGACCTCGCGCTGCCGATCGAGCGGGGCTTCCCTCTGGTGGGCGAGCTGCCGGCATCGTGCGGCGCGGGGCGGGTGGCGACGGCGAATTTCCGTGACCTTGCGTCGCTCCGCCGCGAAGCGCCGCGTCTGAATGATGGCGCGGTCCGCTGGGTCGCGGGCGAGCGCCCCCACGACGGGAAATTGCGGCGCGAGTGTCGGCGCGAAGCAAACGAGGGGGCGCGCGGAGAGGGGCGTTTCCTGGCGATCTTGATTAATGATTGCACGGCGCCTACGGAGCGAATTTTGATGGTGACTCTCGATGTGCTCGCCGACTTGGCGCGGGCTCTGCGGGGCCAGGGGCCCTTGAGGCTCCACAGGAAGGACTTCGTGCGAGCGTCCAAGGCACCGCCGCTGGCACAGACTGCCCCTTGCATGGCGGTGGCCGTCTGTTGGGGTGCGGCGCGCGGGTGCTGGGCGTGCCATGGGGGCCTTCCGCGCGCCCGGCGCGCAGACTCCAGCGGACGCTCGTGCCCGCCTGGGGTGCAAGAGGCGCGAATCTTACAGGCCATGCGTTGCTCGGGCTTCTCAACAGAAGCGTGGCAGTGGCCCGCGCGAGCGCCTTGGCTCTGATGCCCTGCGCGGGGGGGTCGCGCCCCGCGCGGGGCACTGGGGGCGCGCGCCCTCTTGCCGGGGGCGGGCGCGGGGTCGTCTCGCGGGCGGCGCGGGAAGGGCGCTCGCGTCGTTGGAGGTTTCCGCGGCATCCGCGCGTCGCCGCGGAATTTGTGCGTGGAGACATGTAGCGCAACCCACCTCCGAGTGGCGATTTGCTTGCTCTTGCGCGCGTGGTCGTGACTGCGACGTCGGCCAGGCAGGCTTTGAATACCGGGGCGCTTGCGCTGGTGATGTTGCAGGGGGGTAGCAAGGACGTCGGGGTCACTCGCGCGCGCGCTTCCGCGCGGTGCCGCTTGGTGCCGCGCCTGGCCGCCAGGACTTCGAGGGCCTGGCAGGTTGTGATTTGGAGTTGGTCGGGCCCGCCTTGAAGCGGGCGCCCGGCCTGGCGGGCCAACCCGCGGCGTGCGTGGCGATGCGTCCGCGCCTTGAGGAGGTGCGGGCCGCGCTGCGTGAGCTGGCCCAGGCCGGGGAGAAGGAGTGTCCGCCGTTTCCGATGCGGCTGGCCTGCTTCCTCAGGCTGCGCGCCCTTCGGAAGGGGGGTGAGGCGCTGTTTGCCGCGGGATTGGATAGCTAAGGATTGCCGGGCGCCGCGAGTGGCATCGCGAAGGGGGTGCAGAAATGCGAGGGCCGGGCGGGGCGGCGATGTCGTGCCCGGGCAAGCGCGGGGCACGCGCGCGAGCTGGTGGCATGGATCCGGCGCGAGGCTGGGCGCGACAACGTGGCTTGTTCTTTCCTGCCGGCCAGGCGAGCGGGGGCGAGCGGGGGGGGCCTGGCGTGTTCCCAGCAGGGCTCTTTTTGCTATAGGCAATTATGCTAGAAATTCGGCGCGGAAATCGTCGGCTTGAATGGCGGCGGCCGCTCGGCGGTGTCGACATTCGAGGAGGCGTCCGCGACGACAGTAGAACCGGGGGTAGGTGGCGCGGGTGCGCCGCTCTGCCGTGGGCCGCGGGCTGGCAAAAGGGCGCCTGCATTGCTCTGGCCTTGCGGAAATGTCGGAGGGAACCAGAGCAATTATGGCGTAAGTGTGTGCGTGTGTGTGTGTGTGTGTGTGTGTGTGTGTGTGTGTGTGTGTGCGTGTGTGTGTGTGTGCGTGTGTGGGATCTTCAGGGGCGGCGCTCTGCGGGGGGTCCTGTGTGCTGCGCCGCAGGGTGTCGCGCGCCGGGGCCCTTGTTTTCCTGGGCCCGACCTGCGCGGATTCGCTGTCACTGTTGAAGCTAGCTGCGATGGCGTTGGCGCTGCCGCGCGCCGCGGAGTGGGGGGCCCGCGCTTTCCGCGGGGGCAGGGCCGACGAGGTGCTCAGGTCGCAGGGCCCGGCGGCCATGTTCGCGCAGGGCCGTCCGCCCGGGTTCGTGGCGGGATGGCAAGTGGCGGCCGAGGGGCAGGCGGGTCCCTGCGGGCCTGCGCGTGCCAGGAGCAGGCGGGCCCCCGAAGGGGCCCATGTGCGCGCGGCTGCAGTTGTGTGTCCCATGGCAGGCGGGCCCCCTCGGGGGCCCATGCGCCTGTGGGATTCCTTGTTTCCCCACCCTCACCACCTTTTGGCCTCTCGGCTTTTGGGGTGGAGCTTGTCGTGTGGGTGTGTGTGTGTGTGTGTGTGTGTGTGTGTGTGTGTGTGTGTGTGCGCAGCGTGGGCGGCCAGGCTGCGGGGTCGGGTCGGCGTGAGGGGTGTGCCATGGGGTCGCCCTACGCCGCGAGTCCGACCGTCCTGTCCGCCGCGCCAAGACGTCTGCGCCCTTTGCAGGCGCGGCGCTGCGCCGAGGAAATTTATTGCGAAGGCCTTGCGGCTGGTGCCGCCGACCCTGGGAACGACGAAGATGAAAACGAGGGGGGGGGTCAGGGGAAGGAGGATGAGTGAGAGGAGGGGGAAGTGTGGAGGAGGTGGATGAGGGAGGAGGAGGGGGGAGAAGGATGTGGAGGAGAAGCAAGAGGGGGAGAAGGAGGCAGAGGAGAGCAGGAGGAGGGGGAGCAGAGGGGGGGAGGAGGAGGAGGAGGAGGAGGAGGAGGAGGAGGAGGAGGAGGAGGAGGAGGAGGAGAAGGAGAGGAGGAGGAGGAGGAAGAGGAGAGGCCAGAGGCTTTCTTAGGACAGCCTGGGGCTCTCTTGAGGCCGTCTTGGGCCGTCCAGGGCTCCTCTTGCGCCGTCTCGAGGCAGTCTTGGAGGCCTCCTGGGCAATTTGGGGCTTTCCTGGGCTGTCTTGGGGCAGTTTGGGGGCCCCTTGGGAGCCTCTTGGGGCATCTTGGGGCTTCTTCGGGGTCTCTTGGGGGCGTCTTGGGGCTGAGAGCTCGAAATGTCCGTTCGGGTTCCCCGTCTGGGCACTTTCCTGCAGCCGTGTTGGGGGCTCTTCGGCCGTTAGGGGACCCTCTGGCCCTCTTGGGGGCCCTTTGGGCCGTCTCGGGGCGATCTTGGGGGCCTCTTGGGCCGTCTTAGCGCGTCGGGAGGCGGAAGAGGCAATAACGCCCAAATCTTTCAAACGCGCAGGGGGAATCCATGAATTTTGCCTCTTGGGGCTCTCGTGGGAAAACCTCTGGAGGCCTCTTGAGGCGCTTTGCAGGCCTCTTGGGCCGTCTGGGGGCCGTCAAAGCGTCTTGGACAGATCGTTCGGGGATTCGGGGTTCTCTTGGACTGTCTTTGGGGCCTCTTGGGGCACTCTTGGCCCGTCTTGGGGCCTTTTTGGGCTCCGGGACTCCCGGGGGGGGCGTCGTATCTGACCTTCCCCCCCGGACCCCCCCCCCGCAGGGGAAGGATCGAAGGGAAGGAGCTTCCCTTGGACTCAATTTCTACGTTGCTCAATTTCGCTTTGGCTGGCGCGCTGAGGAGGTCCCCAGGAAAAGGGGGAGCTTCGACGAGCCCAGGGAAAGGGGGAGGCAGGGAAAGTGGGCGACAGAGACGACGACCAGCGAATGACGGAGATGACGTCTTGAACGGACAAGCCCCTCACACACGCCGACAAGGTCGGCGGATTTCGATCTTATTACCGAATTGCTACTGTTCTTCTTTGTTTTTCATGCGCTTTGCCGCCCGTGCCTTCTCTGGCTCGGCCTGTCCGCCCCCGCCCGCCTTATTTTGGTGTGCTCCTTGCCCGCCCTGTACCCTCCGCCATCCACGCCCGGATGGTTATGGCGGGCGGCTGCTGCGGGACCCAAAGTGGTCCCTGGGGGTTCGGGGGCTTCTAGACGCGCGCGGCTGCTGCTCTACGACTTTCTCCGCCGTCTGGCTGCGCGCAGGACCGCGTCGCCAAGGAGTGTGTGTGTGTGTGTGTGTGTGTGTGCCAATGTGTGTGTGTGTGTGTGTGTGTGTGTGTGTGTGTGTGTGCCAGTGTGTGTGTGTGTGTGTGCCAGTGTGTGTGTGTGTGTGTGTGTGTGTGTGTGTGCCAGTGTGTGTGTGCCAGTGTGTGTGTGTGTGTGTGTGTGTGTGTGTTAAGACTTCGCCCCGGCGGATGGGCGCCAGCTCCAGCGGGGAGGGCCCCGTTGCCCGCGGGGGCGGCGGCGGCGGCTCGGGCGGGGGCACCCCAGGCCCCCATCGTGGCGCGGGCCATCGCCCCTCCTCCTGCTCCTCCTCCTCCTCCCCCTCCTCCTCCACCTCCTCCTCCTCCTCCTCCTCCTCCTCCTCCTCCTCCTCCTCCTCCTCCTCCTCCTCCTGTTGGCCCCCACTTGACGCCCGCAGGCCAGTCGCCTGCAAGTTCTGACCGCCCTGCAAACTCACCTTGCTGAGCCTCCCCCCGTCGCCTTCCGCCGCTGGGTTTCGGGCGCGGTCTCGCACCCCAGTCGCTGTCCCCAGGGATGCCGCGCCCGTGCGCGATCGCCGGAAGTTTATCGTGGAATGCTGGATCACCGTCGGTTGCCCGCTCCTCAGGCGCGAAAGCCTCCCCGAAAGCTGGGACCGCGACCCCAACCATCAGGCTTCATTCAAGGGCTCCCGCCTCTGGCCCGCCCGAGGGTTTCCTTGCCCCGCCCAACTTTGCCGAATTTTCCGACGACGAGCTTCGCAGGCTGGCCGATGCGACCGTCAGGAAGCGCCTTGTCTCCCGTAGGGGGGGTTCTGAGCAACGCCTTAAGCACTTTGTTTGGAGGCTCCTCATTCGGGGCCCACTCGGGGACAGGCCCGCTGGGGACACCAGCGTGGGGTTCGCCGACGAAGTGCACGCCGCGGATGCAGAGCCACTGGTGCTCATCTTGCCACGATTTGTCACCGCGTGGGGCATCCTGCCTCCCCCTTCCGCCGCCCTGGTCGCCTTGCGCGCCCGTAGCAGGTCCCAGGCTGACCACACCCGCAGGGGGGGCTACTTGGGCTGGGCCCGAAGATGCGCAGGCGCTCGACATGGGGCAGCATACGCACACCTGGCTGAAGCCCCGCGGATGCATCCCTATCACTAGCCGCGATAGCTCAGCTGGGAGAGCGTCAGACTGAAGATCTGAAGGTCCCCGGCTCCAGATCACGGGGCGACAGGGGCGAGGGCCCGTTCCCAGCGATGCTCGCGGACAGGCCCCGGACTGCCGGTGTGGCCCACGTGCCGTGCTCCCCAGCGCGCTCCCGCTCGGCCCCTCGCCCTGCGTCCACCGTGGACAGCCGAGCCGCCCAGGGCGCGGCCCCCGACGGTGCAGGAAAACCTCCGCCCGACCCCGCGCCCCCCATGCGCTTGCTCGGAGGGCACCAACTATACACCAACACCGATCCTGGCCCAGGATCACCCTGGGCCCAGGATCGGTGTATGTGCCTTCTTGCGCAGGGCAGGAGGGCGTATACACCGATCCTGGGCCCAGGGTGATTCTGGGCCAGGATCGGTGTTGGTGTATAGTTGGTGCCTTCCTACTTGCCACTCGCCCACTTTGCCGACGTCCCCATCGCAGATCTCTCCCAAGTCGATCTGACCCTCTTCTTTCTTTCGGTAAGGGCACACCATGGTGTTCCCCACATGTGGCGCCTGTAGAAAGGCAGCCGTGCACGGCTTCTCGCGCGGACCCATAGGGCCGGATACCGCTGCTGCCACTGGATGCATACCTGACTCAACTAAAGACTGGACAATGTGTGAGGGCCCGCTTTAATGCCGACGCTTCCGTATGAAACGCAGACGTTGCTCCGTGCATCACCGTCCCTGCCAGCCGGGTTGGTGCAGCTAGGCTTTTGAAAAGGTACGTAACCTCTTGTGCATTCTCTGTCGAAGCAACACTACATCCGCTGACTCCTAAAGCCAGTCTTCGACGCTCCTCCGCAACTTCCTGGTGCGCGCATGCGGCTCCTGCGGCAACCCTGCTAATCGCGTCCCCGCCACGGGGTTGCCTCGTGGCTACGGCGCGCGCTCCGCCAGTGCGTCCGCCGCCCTCGTCTGGCGCGATAACGACATCAGGGGCTCCCCGGGGATCCCATGCGTGTGTAAGGACCTCGCTTCCCACGTTGCGCCGTGCGGGAAACCTTTCATGCGCAATGACCCCAACTTGATGGAGCCACACCTGCTGCACGCCGTGTCCCGTGTGCATGACGAAGGGCGGCTTCAGATCTGGCGCCAAAAGGACCACGAAGAGAGAAGGGCCCTCGTGTCGGAGCTTTTCGGCACCGGGAAGCAGTCCAGGTCCCCTCATTGG